TATCTTGAAAGCAACTGGATTGTGTATTGAACTACAAGGAGCTTTCCTCAGCTAACAACCAGAGGTCGCTTTCTGGGTGGCTTTTCTACTAACATGAAACATAGCCCAGGATTTCAGAGAGGTTTCGGGGTACTTGGGCCAAATTTGAAATGAATCAAGATTTTTTTGTTTTGTTTTATTTGGAAAACTTCTGTAGACTGTAGGTGCTGCGTGTTTCCAATATACATCTGGTATTTGCTTTGAATCTTTGGGTCCGTTGGAATCCAAAGCCAAAAAGGTTCACACAAAGTGTTGTGACCCAAAACTGTTTAATCTTAGATCTGTGGTCTCAGAGCCCACAGCCTAACTTAAATACCTGATGAGTATCAGCTGAGCAAGCATCGCAGAATCTGACTTCTGCCCATGAACCATAAACCTTTTCCCCAGGGAACAAGAAAGTAAATTGGCCTTTGTGCGGGAGCAGCCAGCTAGACCGGGGCCACAGCTTCCTCGTGCTCAATACCAGACCCCGTGGTATGCTATTGCGAAGTTCTCCTTTCTTCTAAGTGAAGCCATATGAAAAAAAAAAAAAAAGAAAGAAAAAAACCCCACCTCTTTCTGAGATTGGCTGAACCAACCAATTTGTTCAAGCTATTCTTCTGGTTGACTCATTTTTAACTGAAAAAACCACTGATATGTTGAAGGCAACTTGAAAAATGCTGATAGGGAAGAAGGAGGAACAGAATCTAAACCGTTTCAAGCTCAGAAAAAGAGTCAAGCACATGAGTGGGTAGACCCTCCGAAATGGTGTAAAACTTAATTCCATGTTAGACCATGATGAGTTAGGTATGAGTTCATCTAGAAAATAAGACTCTAAAATTAAGCTCAACAGTTGTGATGAAGAGGTCACAACATCATCAGCTCATGGTGTCGTGCTTGTAAAGGGAAAAAAACATCCTCTGATTTAAAAATGTCTAGTGAGATTGGTCTTCATTTTGCTTGGCCAAGGTTTTTACTTGAATGCTGTTCTCAACCGTTTCTTTGTATTAATGTACCCAAAAAAAAGTCCTTAGGAGCCCCAGCAGCATGTGGCTTGAAGAGAGATGGGCACAAATTTATGATTAATATGTCTCTTTGTATGTTCTCAGCTGAAAAGGGTGGTATGTAGAAGTGCAAGTGAAAAGATAGCTCAAGCCTGGTGCCACAAGTTCTCGGGAAAAGTGTACTTCACTGGCTTAACAATGCTTAAAAAGCATTGGCTGTTTAAAAGAAATAGGCTGTGGTATCAGGCTCTCTTTTTTGCTCCTGTTTAAAACTCCATTTATTTGTGATGAACATTGATTTACCTTTCTGAAGCCCAACAGTAAGGCAGGCGGCAATATGCCCATCGAGCTGACAGGACAGGAGCCAGCAGTATAGCCTTCCAAGCCTGGAAATGTGGGTGAAGGCCCAGATTTGATTTAATTATGAGGGATAAAAAGATGTTAAGCACACATAATGCCATAGACCTGTTTTCCTGGTATTGATGGATTACAGAGTTCAATGAGCAGCCCAATTTGCAATGGGGAAATTAGTTCAAACAAGGGTAACTTAACTGCTCTGTGGACAAGTACAGGTAAAATACTGTTAAGAGCCAAACCCAAGAACTACAAAGTGGTGTTGATTTTAAATATTTCACTTACTCGCTGACAGTAGATGACATAAGTGGCTACTACCCAGCAGAACAGCTAAGTCTATCGAGTCTATTTACTGTGAACTTTTTACCTTGTTTCTGAGTAGCTGTTCTTTAGGTACACCCATCAGCTCTTCCTCGTAATGCTTCTAAATAGCAGTATTTTTCATTCTCTTCCTTTGTCTTTGGGTTACTAAATCTATCATCTCACTGGAAAGCTTACGGTGTTGTCAGAAATTCCATATTATGCTCTGGATTAAGGCTGTTTAGCTTGAACGTGACAAGTTGTTTAAAAATAGACTGGTTTATGCTTTGTATTCATTCTCCTCTCCAAAAGTGTCTTTCATAACAATGTAAATAAAGAACTCCCAGAACTGATACAGCGAAGCTGGCACGGATAGAAGAAAAGGCTCAGCTATTACCCAATTGACATTAATGCAACATAAATCTTAATTATATTGAACAAGCATCAGACTGCAAGGTCTTAAGAGATGGAGTCATTAGGTAACAGTTTACAGCGAAAATTTATCTTCAAACAAATTCCCAGGCCTCCTCAGTCTCCTTTGTAGTCTCCTCCTTTGTAGGCATTGGAAATGAGAGGTGTAATATGGATTCACTTTATGGCCCAGCTCTTTTAGCAGTGTCCAAAGCTGACTCCCCAGCATGGGCTAGGAATTGCTAAAATAATCATTTCCAATCGTGCAGACCGTGGGCTTAATCACATCTGCACAGGACGAGGTTGCAGACGGCGTTAACAGCTCCTGGGTTACTCTTGGGCGCTGCCCTCTCGCTGCGGGGAGCCAGGAGGTCTCGGGAGGTCTCTGTCCTTCTGCTCGCCCACATCTGCATCACAGGACTGTGACTCACAAGTCTTGCCCAAACTGGATACTGGGTGTGAAGTTCTTCCTTTTAATCCCCACTTAAATTTTCTCTCCTCAGAGATGTTTCTATATTCAGCTATTAAATGGCAGCAGGATTTTAGATGTTGTTCCAAATTACTTTTTTTCCTTTTTTGACCAAATTTCTTTCAGATAAAAACAGTAAGTAAAACGAATGAGAGAGAGAGAATAAAAAGGTGCATTCTCAACTTTGGTTTATGTCATGGTTGCCACAAGCCATGCTATACTTGTGATTCCATGTGCTGCACCCATCTTACAGATTTCCTTAAAGGCTGTATGGAAAGAATTACAAGATCATAGAATAGTTTGGGTTGGAAGGGGCCTTTAAGGGCCACCTAGTCCAACTCCCTTGCAATGGGTAGGGTCATCTTCAACTAGACCATGTTGCTGAGAGCCCCATCCAACCTGACCTTGAATGTTTCCAGGGATGGGGCTTCTACAGCCTCTCTGGGCAACCTGGGCCAGTGTAGGTAATAGTAATTTTTTCCCTTTTGGCATGAAGTATTAAGAAATCCTTGACAGCTTAAAAAAAAAAAGTTATAGATTTCTTTTTAAGCAGAATCTTTGGTTTCTTGCAGGTTTCTCACAATCTCAGTTGAAAGGCTCCAACCTGAGCTTTACATGGGAGCTCTGTGCATTCGCCCTTCAATATCAGCCCTCCTCTAAATTGCTTAAAAGCATCGCTACCAACTCATTAGTCACTTGCTTAAAAACTTGCCCTCCCTCTCCCACAATTTCATTAGGACATTTCCTCCTCCCTAAGAAACCTTGGGCTTTCTCATCGCTGCTAGCAGAAAAGGTAAAGCAAAGAGTTGCCCTAGATTAAATGCAATCAGGAGGAGTCCATCTCAAGACACCGAAGGTTTAAGCCAGGCTGGTGTTTAAAGCAGCCCCCGCAGCCTGGGGGGAGCAGTGGGTGCTGGGGGAGGCTGCAGCCTGGAGATCAGACCACCACAATTAGCCAAGAGAGTGGTGCAAGTAGATTAGCTTTAATTGCTTGGTCTCGGTCTGGTCTCAGATGTTGGAAAAGGTGCTTCATCAGGGTTGTGGTTGGAACAGCTTGACTTCAAGTTGGAGGGAGTAAGCGTTCCTCCTGGGTGTAATGCAGCATAATCATTTGCCTGATTTCATGAATTAAGGAGGCTGAAAACATGCCTTTATTTTTAAATTTTGCCCCCCATAGCAAATTGCAAGCAAGTTTTTTAGGGAGCTCTGATAGACACTTTCTACCAAGCCTTTGCAAGAGCATCTCTGGCTTCTGGCTGAGTTGCCATCCCCATAGCAAGAGGAACACGAGAGGCTCAGAGCTCCTGCCGTAGCTGCCTACGAGGGGTGGGTTGCCTGCTGGAGACGTGCAGATGGGCTGGGGAGAGGGAGCACTGGACAGTTTACCCTGACTTTAACAGTTTATCCTGACTTTAAAGAGAAAAACTCCAGGCCGCAGCTGGAAGTGCAACTACACGCATGGGCACAGAGATGTTTATGCAGAAGGAAATCTCGATAGCAGGGCAGAAATATTTAATGATCGTTGTTTATCATCCCTTTCCCTTAAAGCTAAAATAAGAGCAGCGGAAAGGAGGGGGAACAGTGTGGTTTCACAGATAAAAAGTGAGCTTTTGCATTTTGTTGTTAACATTGCTGTCACCTAGCAAATGCTCCCCCGGAGCCAGCTGACCTGCTGCAGAAGGCTATAAAAGCTGGGTTTTGTCCCCATTTGGCAGCGTGGGTGCTGCCAGGTCCCAGGCAGGGAAGCCTTGCTCCAGCCCAGAGGCTGCAGCATGTCCTCTCACAGCACAAAGGACACGGTATCACAGCTTTGTCGGGGAGCTGGGTGCCCAATGTGTGCCGGAGCAGCATTCAGCATCTGTGTTTATTGCTTAAGTGTGCTTTTTTCTGGATTTAAAGGTATTTTGTCATTTATGCTGCTTTTGTCAATCACTTAGCCATTGCTACCCAGAAGGGTAAGAATAGAAGTGAATTTTATATCTGAAACCTGGGTCTGAAATCGTAAATGTATGATCAGATCTAGGGTGTCCAGATCTGCACAAGAACTTTTTCTGACTCAGATAACGATTGTTAGCGAAAGGTTTCTGTTCCTTATTTTAATACTTTGAATATTGTGATTTGCAAGACTGTAACAGCCACATGCATGGTGTGTGGAGCATGCAACGCTGCCAGCCACCCTGCAAAGTGTGTTTTCCAGAATTTTGGGGCGTTTAAGACCTGGTTCCCTCTACTACGTGGGCAACACCAAGAACTTCAAAACCTGCTTCCCAGCTTGCCTGGAAGTCTGGCATCAGCTTTTTCACCAAAGCAATATATTTTGTGAAAAAGGTGATATTTGGGATATGTGGCCTGCTGTTTTCTTGGTGATTGGGAAAGAGGGGAAGACATGAGGTGGTCTGGTTCTGACAGGGCATCACTAACCCTCTGCTCTCTGCTTTCCACAGGCCCTCCAGGGAGACGAGGGAAGCCTGGCCGGCGTGGAGAACCCGGTAAGCATTGCCTGTACCCAGTGACATCACTGGGCACCCACAGGTGTCATTGGGCTGGATAGGAACCTTGTCGATAACAATGCTGATCACCTTCGTCTAATGGGCCGTGGGATGGGGGCTTCACACTTCCCTGAGTGCTAGATATTGAAGGATTTTATACAAACCAAAAAAAAAACCCAAAATCTTAAAAACAAACAAACACACACCCCAAAAAAACCCAAAACACCAACAACCAAAAAACATCCCAGAAAAAATAAACAAAAAACCCCCCAAATTAAAAAAAAAACTGATGTTGCATATTTTATCAGTCCTTCCATTTCTCCCTGGTAGCGTTCAGACCTGTTATCATCCCATCCAACAGTGAAGTGGGACTGTGAATTAGCACAAAAATCTAAAAAAAACCTGCAGCTGTGCTAGGTGGGAGGTGGGCACCGGCTTGTTCCCTACATATGGACATATCCATACGTTGCCTACCAGTCTCACTTGTGGGATGGCTGGTGTCTGCATTTCAGGGTCAGGGATGACCCAACCACAGCCACCAGCCTTGGACACATCCCCTGAGCTCTCAGTGTCCCCTCGGACTGGGTGAAACCGCAGAGTGGCCTCACTGGGAATTAAAGCTAAATGTTTACTTAATTATTAAAGTAAACATTAAATGCCTCTGTCATTTTGGTATCTGGTGGGTTAAGTTTCTTTTTCCTGTCTGGTGAAATGGGAAGGCAGCGATCCGATCCCGGCTGAGCTGGGGAGAAGTGCTGTTTACATTCGCTGTAAGGTCTGAAGTGCTGCTGGAGAGGGGAGGGATGCGGCTGGCATTGCTCTTTCGAAGGAAAACACAGAGGAACGTACCTAGAAAGCCACACAGTTTGCAATTGACTCTACATGTTGGAAAGCAGCAGATGAAATTTTACGCTCCTCGACTCTTAGGTTCTTGAATGTTGAGAGAATGAATTGGGGACCAGATAGATTTGGGGTTGGTTTTTTGTTGTTGTTGTTTTTTTTTATGTAGTGAGGAGGCTGTTCTCTATTGTCCAGTGCTATGGCAAATACATGGCTGGGCTTTCAAAAAAGGCACTGCAGTTCGATGATCACCAGTATTTTAAAAAGTTTTTGCAACTCTAGGGTAAGGAATTCACAGGTTTTGGGCTGTGGACTGAGCTCCACAGGAAGGGTGGGCAAGTATTTTCTTTTACTCTTCCATTGATGGTATTTCATGGTGCATCATGTGTTTTCTGAGGGTTGTTTTTTTTTTGTTGCTCCTGAAGCATCATGGGGCTTATTCACAGGGGTGGTGGTGGACCCCAAACAGCTTCATTAAATCCCTTTTTCCTAGTACTTGGGCTGTAGGAATAGCCATTAGGCAGCTTTGATTAATTTTTCTTTTTTATCTGCTGTTTCTTAAATATCACTGTGCTCCTCAAAGCCCTTAGTGCTGAGTACAGCATTCAGCCAAGGGGTGAACTGAACCCCTGGCTGGTGAGGTCAGCCAATTAATTTGGTTTCATATGCAGACATTTATGTAAATGTTGTCCGAGGTGTCTCTCTAGCCCATACAGAAACCTGGGAGGTAGCACGGAGCTTGAGTATGCCCTTGCCCTTTGCTTCCCTCTCCATGTTTCGTGCAAGAGCTTGTGAAACCCAACTTCTGCCCTTGTGCTGTGGCACAACCGTAAGTGCCGCGTGAGCATCCCTCTGACAAAGCAGAAAACTGCCAGGAAATCAGTGCAGGACCAGGAGGAAAACAAGCGTTATAAAATAAAAAGAAAAATAAATCATTAATAACAATTTATGATCTTTTTTTGAACTTTTCTGCAATTGTGGGCACACCAGTGAAATCCATCTGATGCAGTGCAGCCCCTGCGGATTGCTCTGCGGCGCTGCACATAGAAGCACAGAGAGCAGACGTCCCTCTGTATATTGGTTTTGGCCAAGCTGCCAGATGTTTGTTTTCATAGATAGCTTGAATATATATTTTCTATATTTGTTTGAGAACCTGACCACACATAAACCAGGTCCTTGTTCCTTCGCTACAGCTGATAAATGTGAATAAAACTTTGTTTGCGTAGTATGATAGTGTCCATCCCCAGGGACCCCATGTGGTTACAGCCTTACAGCCTCCAGACAAATGCTGCTGGAGAGCCAGAAGACTCAGTGCTGGTCTCAGCCCTGCCAAGGAGAGTGTTTCTTACTGGCAATTGTTGAAATGGTCATGTTGAAAAACTTTTTCTGATTTATATTGAAACTTTCAATATGCATCTCTTAGAAGGAAGCAGAGAAACTTTTAAGAGATCGTTCTGTCCCTTTTCAATTGCATTTTCTTGTTGATTTAAACCAAGACTAAATTTTACTTTTTTTCTTTTGCCACAATGGATTCATGTGATTTAAAAAAAAGTAGAATTCAAGAGCTCTGTTTCTCTAAACTAAGAATTCATCATCCTGAAAGCATGCAGAGACAACCACTCTTTTCCATAGAAAAACCACTATACTATAGAAGATTAATTTTAAACTGGAGCTGGTCACAGGGATGGAGTCGCTGCAGTGACAGTCACCTGAGTGCTACCAGCAGGGAAGAGGTTACTTCTAGAAATCAATTTATTCTGCTGTTGTTATCCCGAGGCCAGGAAATTCACACCAGCAGCCTCCCTAGGGAGGTTGTCCTTCCCAACGTGGCCATGTCTGCACCCACCTTCACTCCATCCTCTCCTAAGCTCCATCCCATCCTGCCAGGACCGACACATAAATCACATCCTCCTCATTCCTGTACAAGAACATCAGTGGTTTGTTATGCAGCTGGAAACCAAGCACAGCCTTGATGACCCTTGTGAAACCCACCCATGGGAACAGTGTCTAAAAAGAAAAACACGCTTTAATATAACCTTAGGTGGGATTTGCAGCTTTCTCCAGACGTGAGGTGGAAGGAAGGTTTTGCAGCACTAGCTGTTGTGGTTGGTCCTGACAGCCAGCCTGCACGTCTCAGATACAGTTCCCTTTCCATGCCAAAGGCAAAACCGTGTTTAATGTCATGTTAGCTTATTTTTTCAACGTGATATGTCCCACTGAGGACACAGTTCAACTGTTGTAGTGAGCGTTTGTGAAATAACGCGGATTTTAGCAGGGAACTTGGGAGGTTTTGCTTCCCCTCTTGCTGCCAGCTGGTACGGCGTGAGTGGGATGGGGTACGGCCGCGCAGCCCTCCCAGGGCTTTACATTTATTTTTATAAAGATTGATCCCTGCCGGGGTGTTCCTGAAGGATGGATGAATCGCTTCCAGGATTTGGGAATTAAGTCAGTTTAAATTTTGGTTCAAAGTCTCTGTACAATTAGATGGTGAGAGATGATGCTCGTGTCTCTCGTAAGGCCATGCTGCTTTCTTCTCCTGACTTGAAGATTGCTCAAAAAGACTGATCTGAGCCTCAAAATTCCACAAGAAAAAAAAACAGGAGAAAGTACACCTGAAATGTGAAGTCTGGGAAGTCTCCGAGTACGTCTCCACTCTCCGCACGTGAAGCAAGGAGCTGGTTGTGGACATAAACACCCAAAGCTGCAGGGTTGGTTGTTGCCTGTTTTTGTGAATTGTGCACAACCTCAGCAGAAGTGAATAAACGTTGGCCATTTTAGGCACAAAATTGCCCTTACAGGTAGGCCTGGATGGGCATTTTTTTGATGAAGTGTTATTTTATTGGAAAATGTTGACTTGGCGAAATTGCTGTTTCTGGCAGTAAAAGTTTTGTTTACAAATTTTTTCCATTTCAAAAACACTTGTAGGGGAAATGTTTTTAAATTGCTGAAATGGGATGAAAGTCTTCTACCCACCCCATACCCCCGCCATGACTTTTGATTTCCAAATTTACTTTACACTACAACTGTTTCTTTAATTTTAACTTCTAACAAAGTTTTGAGTCAAAGTATTTTATTTTGTTTCTTACAGCTGTTCTGTTTACAGAAATACCCTGATTTGGAACACAGAAGAATCTAAAGCTCTTATTAAGGAACAAAAGCAACATAATTTCTATGCAGGGAAATGTTATTTTTCTCCCAGCCCCACATGTACTTTACATGTTAAGGCCCTTTCAAACACCTTGGCCATGTGATAGTGTGGACAAGTATTAATATAGAGTAGTTGTTATTCAGTAAGCACGTATGTGCACGTGGGTAAATAATGCAGAACTTTGTGTTTACTTGGGGGTATTCATTGCTTGCTGTATTTCTCATGATGAGTTGTATCCATATAGCCTTGTATCCGGGGTCTGCTTTGGCTTCTACTGAACTTTAGGAAAAATCTGATCTGTCCCATATTTGCTCTCAGTAATGAGCCTCTCTGCTAGGAGAGCATTTTCCCCGTGCACACCAGTGCTGAGGCACAAATAGGAATTATTGAGGTCAATGAGCAGTGAGGAGTACTCTTTTTCAGATTGATGTAGAGCCAATCTCTGTGATTTCTTACAACTGTAGCAGTTGTCCTCCTTCCTTGTAGCCCATGACTGAGTTACTCACAGTTATTAATCCAGGATGCTATCAGGAGAATATGTATATACATATTGTGTGTGTATAAATACACATACATATGTTTTTATATAGATATTTATGTGTGTATATGTATTTTTTAAATTATATTTTCTTACATGGCCACAGATGTGTGTGTGCTACCGTGGGGATGGGTCCTTTGCCCATTAAGAGCAGCAGCAAAGTCCCCTCTGACTTTTTGTGGGCTGTTGGAAAGGTCTGGCTGGTTCTGTTACCCCTACCTGGCAGTGCTCTCTCCTGTTGTGGCAGGAAAGCTTGGATGATAAGTGATTTCTAGATTAAACAGAAATTGTAGCTTCTCCCAAAATTCCCAAGCTGCAAAAATACTTGGAAATAAATGACTGTGACCTGTCATTTCCCATATGCTTGTGTACAGCTGGGGATAATGCCATCGTGACCTGCTAGGTCTTTGGATATATAAAATAACATTGATGTTAGTTGATCAGGAAATCTGGGTCACTTATTTTTAATGAGTTTCTGTTTTCACCTCCCGCTAGCACCAGGGTTCATGTTCTTAAGGAATCTCTTGGTCTTTCCAAATATCCTTGTCCCCTTGCAGGCTCAGATACTGGGTGGTTTACTCCCAGCAGTAACAAATGCTGCAGATCATGGAAAGGCACAGCATGTTTCCCGTCTCTATAGTGAATCAATCCCACACCAAACCCTGTGCATTTGCACGTTATTTTGTCTTTCTCCTCATCCTTCTGAAATAAGCCCTCAAGTTAATTTGTTACGGAGCTTTAAGTTCACGGAGACTGTTTCCAACTTTTATTTATTATAATAAGAATTTCCAACAAGCTTCATTCTTCCTTTTGAGCTCTCCAACTCATTCTCACTAGTCAAAATAATTAGCAGTAAATTCTGGTGGATTTCAGTGAAAAGATTGTGTCTCTTGTGCAATGTGCCTGCAGGAAGGAGATGGGCGGGTGGGGGGCAGCCCCTTGGCATACTGTGCTAACTTTTGTATTTGCTGTTAGCTTCCATAGGAGACAAGTGTCTTGTGGCGAGGCTTTTAAAAAACACCTTCAGTAAGCCAGAAAGTTATGTTTTTCTTAGGAGGAGAAAGGACCAATTCTTTAGGTTTAACTTTATTCCCCAATGAAGATTTATCTGGCCCCGCTTGGCCAGCAGCACAGCTAAAGATGAGTGTAGTTCCACTGATGTAGATGGAAAGCATCCCACGGGGCATATCCTGACCCCCCCACCAAACTTTGATTTCCCGTATTTGAGAGAAAAGCATTTTTCAAAGAGCACTTGCCTGCATGTGTTGGGAGAAAACAGTAGCTGAGAAAAGGAAAGAGGCAACAAATTCCAAGGAGATTATAATTGGTACATGATTGAAATCCCATATTAAAATAATTTCCTGACCACTTCTTAGTCGAGGCTTAGTTTTGACATTTCTACAAAAGGCCTTTTGTGGGTAGCTCGGCGTAAGCGAGTTAATAAATCAGGTTTATGATTCTCGGTTAATAAATTGGCTTAGAGCCATTGACTTCTGTATTCATAAGAAATTAAACCGAGGAAAGCGAACGGAGGGCCTGTGTGAATTTTAGCACTAAAGAAAATAGGCTGGTGGGCCTGGGGGGGAGATGTGGAGGTTGTCTCCTCCCCTCCACGCCGGCCGGGCGCCGGGCCGTGGCTGTGCGTGGAGCTGACCATGTTAAAGCTGATGATCACAGGTTAACGGGCTAATTCTTGGCAGCGGGCGCTGCCTGTCGTTACTTGCTTTCACTCCTCATTCTTAGGCGTTTCTTGGGTTTTGTTATTCAACTTTTAATTTTGAAACGCATTTTAAAAACCTGGAAAATGCATTAGAATTGTAATACGCTGCTTGTTTTATATTACCGACTAATAGAAGATGAACCAAGCTGATTTATTTTATTTTCCTCCATTTTAATTTTTCCCACTTTTTTTTTTTTTTCCTTTTTTAATTGTGATTAGTTTCTGGTTTTGATCAGGCAGGAAATGGAGCGTGAAGAAGCCCCAAACAGAGAGCTATAGGCTGCCCTGAGAAGGGGAGTGAAATGTGGATTGCATTAGATTAGGGGCTCAGCGCTCACCTCGGTGAGCGGTGGGAAAGCTGCAGAAATCGGTGTGGCCGGGGGCGAAGACCCTTCTGCTGCAGGGGGATGTAGGAGGGGTGCTTTTTGACTGCTGTTAATCACAGCTTCAGCCTGTGGCACCAGTACCCAAAGCATCTCGGAGATGTGATGGGTTTTTCCCCCGCATCTAAGGCACCACGTCTCTGCCCCTGAGCATGGCGAAGCCCTGGAGGCAGGGGCCACGCAGAGGTGACACAGGGCAAGTGGGGTTGTGTGACATATTTTGAGATCAGAGAGGGATGGGGACCAAATGACAGCGACTCTTAGAATGTGTGGCAGCTCTAGTAACATCCTTGCTGGGTGTCCCCATCACTGTGCTGCTCCTGTTTGGGCTTTTGCCAGTACATCTCCAGCTCCTCTAGCACAACATGAAATAAGCACCGTGGTGGAAACGTACTTTTTGCTCACAAAATTCCAGCTGGGTCTGTCTGCTTTTTGCTGGCAATCCCCTCTGCTTGCATGTGATGCCCCAGGCTCGGAGCGCAGGTGATGCCTTGCGATGTGCCCTGGTGCCTGGGGTCTCGCAGGGGCAGAGGGAACGGAGTCACACTGGGGTAAAGGAGAGAAAAAAGTGGTTTTCTACACACCCAGTAAGCGCTGCTGTGCCAGCAGCACGGGCGAGATGGTCCCATAACGGGAGGATGCGGATGGTGTTCAGTGTATCTGGAAAGTCATCACATTGGAATTGAACTGAAAAACTACTGAATCGTTCTGATTTGGGTTCCTGCTATGTGCTGTTTTATCAGATTGTGCTTTTTCTTTGTGAGTGACTTTTCTTTTCTTTGTTTTTCTTTTGTTTTCCAGGACCTGCTGTAAGTATCGTGGATTTTACTGTTGGATCAACAAAGTTAAGGCTTCCCCTTCCCCCCCCTTCCTCTGCCTTTTGGTGTCGATGCAAAAGCACAGCATTTTTTGGTAGAGGTGTGTCTGGAAGCAGAATTGGTACCAGATGCTGCTGGATTTTTATTTTTTTTTCATGATTGTAGACAAATAGAATGGGGAAAAGAAGCTTGAAAATGTTTAACTTGCTACCCTTAGGGACTTCCAGTAATTTTAAACATAGAAAATATTCAGTAAAAAAGAGTTTTCCCTTTAAAGAGTTGTTTAGTCCACTTCCATTTAGCTGAAAGAGTGCTGTACTAATATTTTAACGTTTTAGTGGGTTTCTTCAGTTCTAAAACTCTGTCTTGCTTTTCTTATCTGTTGTGTTTCCATTGTTTAATACGGGTTTGGTAGCCTCACAAGGGGGGCTAGAGGAAAAGCCGTAGCTTGTTTGCTTCTCTCTTTGAAGTCTTGGGGAGAATAACAAGCATTCCAACCAATGCAACCAGAAAATTTATGGGGAATTTGTTGTTTGAAGGGGCAATAGTTGAAAATGTGTCAACTCCTCCTTCCAAATGTTCAGACGTGCCTTTGGCTGTGCCACCGCTACGTCCAAATCTGATGTTCTCCCGCTGGTTTTGGAGCAAGAAAACAGCATTTTATTTGTGCTCTCCAAGTTGCTGAGGGATTGTTAAAAAAGACATTATGGGAATGAGGTGCTTCTGGTTTTCTACCTTTCTTCCCCCAAAGGAGGAGGAGAGGCAGAGGCTGTTTGCAGCCACGTGTTTCCTTCTGCATCGTTGCACTAACAGAGATGTTTCTTCACGTTGTTCTCTTCCTATAGAGCCTCACTGGGTTCCAAAGGGATCGTTTCAGGAGAAATAAATTTGCTAACTATTCCTGGGCTAATTAATTTCTATTTCTGTAAATCTGTTTACAAGCCAAATGGTGACAAGGAAACGCATGTGGAGCGTGGGGGCTGTCACAGTGCCATGGCTTTGGTCCTCCTGGGCTCGACAGCGCTGCCTGTGGCTTTAGTTTACTGGCTTTTACCCATTGAATTTTTCCTTCTATTTCAAGTTCATTTTTTGATGTAAAGACTGAAGAGGAGCTTGAGCAAAATTATTTGACTGAGTTTTGAATGAGCAAATCAGGAGAACTTAAGACTTTAATGGCTTTGGCTTAACCATTCTTACAGGAAATCAGAATGCTTTTGCTCTGAAAGTTGTGCCCAGCATTAGCAATAAATCCAAGGCTCTGGCTTGAGAAATGCAAACAAATTAATTTTTCCTGTTAGTTTGTGTTCAGAAATGTAGTCCGTCAATAAATTAATTTTCCTGTAAATAGTCCGTAACTAAAAACTGCGACGCAGCCTCTCCAGCCCACACAATAAAAGTGAATCTGTGGGTTTTTGAATTATTAGCGACTTGGGTAGTGGCTGCGGGAGCACCGTTGGGGGGTGGATTCCCTCCTGCCTGGCCCGGATCGATGCCACAGCCCGGCTGGTCCCTGAATTCACCGAAACTCACAGCACAGTCACATCACTGGCGAGATGCCGGGGCTGAGGAGAGCATCTGCTGAGGCTGAGCACAGGCATCTGCTGCTGGGAGCCCTTTTGGGTGTGAGACCTTGTGCCCTCAGGGTTTCTACCAGGGGAATTTTTTCCTCTCTGCATTTCATGCAATTTGGCCTAATTTATTAAAAAAAAATAATAATAATAAATTTCTCTCTCAGTGGCAGGTTACAAACAAAGAGGATACTGCCAATTTAAAACTCCACACATGCATCTTCTAAAGGACGTTTTCCTCTTGATTCAAGTACTTTGGCTTATTTAAAATGGATTTATTTAACCATTTCGGCTCTCTCCCACTCAGAGGCTGTTATCAGCCCACACGCAGCCGCCTGGGTTACGCTTCTTCACGTGTGCTCTCTGTTCACTTTTATTGTATGCGATTCGACATAGGCAACATATGGTGCACTATTAATTTTAATTTGTCTCTGGTTGGTTTCATTTCCTGGTTCCCACGGCACTATTGAATTGCAAAAGGAGCACAGGGGAGATTTAACACAAACAAGACTGGTTTTTTTCTTCACTCCCTTTGCCCTTCTTTAAAAGACAACTCCTGGTTTAGTTCATTTAAAAAAAAAAAAAAAATCCCGCATTTTTAGCATAAGTAGCATTTGCCAGAGACTTCTTTAAACATAATATATAATAAAAGTCCTAGAACCCACAGAACCACAATATTATTTTATTTCAACAGTACTGTATTTAACTCTATTAGTTTCTTCTGTTTCTTGATTTTGGCCATAAGGAATTGATTACATGTTACATGTACAGCATCGCACTCTGCTAAAACTGTATCCTCAATTCTGTTGTTCCCTAGTAGCAGTTGTTCTGGTATTTTATTTTTTGGCTGTCATAAGCTAGTTGTGTATATGAAATTATTAGAATTTGTGGTACAGGATTTGTGGCTGTTGGATGATTGATCGTCCTGTCTGTGAGGAAGGGGTATTCTGCTCAGATGTGCTATAAAACCTCTGTTTCGGAGGGTATTAAAATCACATGCTGGGTAGGAAATTTCTACAATTGAAGGATAGACTTACCACAGACTGTAATTAAACATTTACAGTCCCAGATATTAACCAACACTTTATGTATTAGCATGCTGGCTGGGGAACTCACCAGCGAGCGAGGGCTGGGAGTTACAAGTGTTTCCTATTTATCTGTGTGTGCTCCAGTGCCATACGTCTCCATAAAAATCTCACTGTACACTTTATCCCGAGACTGTAATTTGTTAAATAGGTGGTTGTTGAAGTCAATGTTGTTTCTGGGTGAATCAATAGGGCTGCAGGAGGTATTAAAAGCTGCAGGGGCACTTAGCGAAAGGAAGAACCCCCTGTATGTGGTACGGAGGGGGCTGCCAGAGCTATTTCATGCCATAAGAAATGCATGAATCTGGCTGTATATCCACAGCACGCTGACATAACCTATGTTTATGGTAGCAGATGACATTGCTGTACCAGACACACGCTTTACTGCCTACTTGTGTACCAGCTAATACTTAACAGCTCCTTCCCGGGAATCTGCCTTACGTCTGGCTTGCAGCAGGCTCTGCTGTAGCTCACGGCATGTTTAACGGCAGCTCGAGCTGTAAACGCCTTTGGGAACCCCCCCTGAGGAGAGCAGAAAAGGTGAAATATCCTGAATTGGGCTGTGTTTTATTCCACTGATCTTCCAGGTTAACTTCGGTAACTTCTTAACTGCAGTTAAGGTCTTTCCCCGTAGCATCAACTTTTCTTTCCGCTTCATTGCAAAACCAAAGCAAAGCTTAGAGGTGAGCTGGGAGAGCTGCATCCTGCGAGGAAAGTAATGGATCTAAGGTGGGGAAACCTTTTAGATGGATTCACCTTTCCTGAATCCAGTGCTGGAATTGGGAGTTTGAAGCTGAACGATTGCTCCTGGGCAGACGGGCTGTCCTGGGGCTTCTCTTGGTACCTGAGGGCTCCTGTACCTCTCTGTACCTGTGTCCCAGGGTGGGCTTATGCCAGAATCTGGTGTGCATCATGCACATCCGTGGCTTCAGGGGTGGCAGGGACTGAGCACAGGCAGCCAGGGGTGGGTGTGAGTTGGCAAAAGCCTCGGTAAGTAGCTAAAGGGAAGCAAGAGATCAAAATCTGGGGAAAATATGCTGTAGGTGTGACCTTTCTGATAGGAAAATTGCCCTGAAAGGTTTCTGTGGAGAGAGCGTAGCCCTGGAGCCGGCTGGGCAGCTGATGTCCCTGTCTCCTGCCTGCTGCTATGTGTTGTCACGCTGCTACGGGTGCATTGACTGACTTGTATCTCACTTGTTCCCCCACCACAGGGGCAGTCAGGACGTGATGGTTACCCGGTAACTCTGCTATTCTTTTTATTTTTATTCTCTTCTAATCTGCACTCCGTGGTCCTCTGCCTTTTCCATGACACTTGATTTTCTTTGCCTATATTGGTCTCTTTTTTTTTTTTTCTTTCTTCCCTCCCATCAGTGATAGCTTTAGATGGATTTAGCTCTAAAACTCAGGAGCCTGTGCAATATTCTTCGTTAATGTTTATAGGCATGAAATAGAATCATAGAACAGTTTGGGTTGGAAGGGACCTTTAAAGGTCATCTAGTCCAGCCTCCCTGCAATGAGCAGAGACACCTTCAACTCGATCCAGTTGCTCAGAGCCTCGTCTAACCTGACCTGGAATGTTTCCAGGGATGGGGCATCTACAGCCTCTCTGGTGGCAGATGATTGAGCTGTTAAATAGTTGGAGCCCTTTCATGGTATTATTCACACTCCAGCCTAAGAGTTCACTGGACTGCAAGGTTAGTGAAGGCTTTGGGGCTTGTTCCACTCACAGCTGTAGGTGGCCAAATTTGGGGATGTTGGTGAAAGAGCTTCAGGGGTTGAGATAGTTTGGAGATGGATGAATGAGGACCTTTTTTCCCTGATAGAAGTGTCCTGCCAAGCCTGTCTGCAAGAAGAGATTTTGCAGAGGCTTGAAAGGGTAACTGGGGATGTGTTTGTCCTTCCCGTGTCTGTGGGCACCACTGAAATGTCTCTGGCTCTGAGCCGCTTTCTGCAGGAGAAGGGAGACCTTGTTCTGGTGAGATCCCAAGCTGCAGCCTGGTGGCTGGCTCCCTTGGTCCCCTTTAATGCACTCATGCAGCCATGGTGTTCTGGCTCTGATGGGCTCGAAGGCTTGTCAGGGAGTGACTTCTGTCCATGCAATCAGTGTAACAGGTTGGTAAAAATCTCTGTGTAGATCCTTCATGTTCACAGCACAGTTCCAGCTCTGCTTCTGCTTTTTGAATGGACACAGTGAGTCCTGCACTGCCTGATGCTCTGGAAGGGGCTTCTTGGCTATTTGCTCTGCTGTTCTGTTTATAAGGTACAGAAAAGTAGTTAGCCTTCTCCTTCCCGTGGTTGGTGCCCTTTTTTTTTCTTTTTTTTCTTTTTTTTTTTTTTTTTTTTTTTTTTTTTTTTTCCAGGAGTGTGTTAGGAAAACTCACTCCTTATGCCCTGGCCCAGTTCCCCCTGAATGCCCAAAAACCACGGAAACATCTATTGAATTTTCTGTGTGTGATGGACTGGGAGCTTAAGGGAGGAGGATTGGAAGGGAAATAACAGAGCTGGTTTTAGTTTTCGTTTCCCCTGGGCACCTGTGAGTCTCCCTGGGGAAGACAGCAGCCTTTCCCTGGGGGCACTGGCCCCAGAAGGGGAGAGATGTGAGATTGGGGTAATTTTGCAGGACAAGCCTGTGCTGGCATTGCATCTGCTGGAGAAGGCTGCGAGCGAGCAGGGCTGCTGATGTTAGGAAAACTCACTCCTTATGCCCTGGCCCAGTTCCCCCTGAATGCCCAAAAACCACGGAAACATCTATTGAATTTTCTGTGTGTGATGGACTGGGAGCTTAAGGGAGGAGGATTGGAAGGGAAATAACAGAGCTGGTTTTAGTTTTCGTTTCCCCTGGGCACCTGTGAGTCTCCCTGGGGAAGACAGCAGCCTTTCCCTGGGGGCACTGGCCCCAGAAGGGGAGAGATGTGAGATTGGGGTAATTTTGCAGGACAAGCCTGTGCTGGCATTGCATCTGCTGGAGAAGGCTGCGAGCGAGCAGGGCTGCTGATTTCCAGGGAGAGGAGGGCTCAGCACAGTGATTTGTCTCCCTCAGGCGGTACCTGAAGAGTTTAATTTATTAGAAATTAAGGTGGGAGACTTTGCTCTAACTGGGCTCTTTAAAGGCAGTTTTAGGATGGCTTTGAGGGATGTAGCTAATCGCTTCTGGACTAGGAGTGCCCGTGGCAGCTTTTACCCTCTTCTTCTCTTTGTGGGTCATATTCTGGCAAAACCTGTGCATGTGGTTTAGTTGCAGAACTCTGAAAAACAGAAACCCTGGGAGGAAATAGTGACTTTTCCCTCAGATGGAGCATCACCCCCAGCCTGTCCCAGCAGCCCTGGCACGGTGCCTGTCCCAGCTGCTGGTGAGGGATTTTGATGCTGCTCCAGCTTTCCTGGGTGGTGTTGGGGACTGGCAGTGACCTCTGGCTCTGTTGCCACATCTGCACTGGGAAAATGGCATTAATATCACAGAAAAGTTTCCCCCCCCTCAGGACCCGCAGTCCAGGCAAGCTCTGTGGCTGGTCTTATTCCTGACGTTGCAAAAACTGTGTGAGCCAAACCCAGCAAACACTGAATTACTGCATCCACACAGCTGGGATTACACTAAATAGCTTTACCTAATAAGGAGGTGATGATAATTGCATTTCCAAAGCAATATGTATACCTGAAGGAGGAGGAAACTAAACATAAAGCAGGCTTGAGAATCTTATTCAGCAGAAGTACATGGATGGGCTTTATTACATCAAGTTGCATAGTCAAATTGATTTAATTATTTAGGTCCCTTCAGGGTGATCAAATAAACTTCAAGCTGTTTTAGGAGGTAGATGTGGTGCAAATGCAGAAGTAAGAAGTAGATATTAAAGGGTGTTTGGTGTCAAATATGGATGTGGTAACGTGCATTTCTTGGGCAGCGGTGCATTGAGTTTATTTGTGAGCTGCTGGGGTTGAACTGAGCTGCAGGCAATGGAAGATTTTAAGGGACGAGTGAACCAGAGCTCTGGAGACGGGGCCCAAAGGAAAAACAGCTTTTATAAGATGATTTCAATATTTTGATAGTTAACATCTTAAAGGGGAGGGGTTTGTGCCCTACAATAAAACTTTATAGCAGAAACAGTTTCCTCTTTATGAAGTTCTGTAGGATCATTATTATTTTTTAAACCCCAGAGAGGATTTACTTTTTATTTTTAGGACTATGGCATATCCCGCTAACGTTACCGTAACAACTGTGAAGAATGTTGGGGTTTGGGGTTTTTCAGGTCTTGTTTGACTTTTTTTTGACATCCCATTGAACACGGATCATAGCATATACCTCAGCTGTGCAATTTGCACATAGTAACTGTGGTGGTGATCATCCTCCTGGGTGATCCAGGAGGATGCTCCTGGGTTTTGGGGTGTGAATCTACTTAGTCTGAGAGCCAGCCTTGCACCTCCTGAGCTTGCAAGAACTCAAATGAAGGCATCAGGGAGTGGGGAGGCTTTTACTCTTTTTGATGCCAAAACGCTAATCTTGGAGGTCCTTTTTAGAGAAAATTACCTAAAACAACTTCTGGGGAGAAGCAGGGTGCTTTACCCCAAAGATGGAGGAGAACCATCAGGTTGCTTTTCTCATCCAATGTCTGCGTGGTCCTTCTTGCAGGATACCATGATGTTCCTCTGGCTGTTTGTGGTGGTGGTGGTGGGCTGGAGTAACACGTAGGTGTGTAGTGGATGAAGTGAACCAGCACTGTTGGTGACTGAAAACTACAGGATTAATGATTCCTTTATGAAGAAATCCCAGAATAATTGGTAATTACAGATTTATTACAGGGGTCCATTGATTCATTAGAGATGCAGTGATCTCTAAGGAAAAAAACAGTGATAAAAATGCTGCAAAATTAGCAGTTTAGGAGAGAAAATGATGGTTTTCTAGACAAGCAAGGTTTCTTTAAGCAACCTGATCTACCTTTGGTTGACCCTGGCTGGTGATATTGCTGTGTCTGCAGCTCAGGGACCTGCCTGGTGGCTGTGAGTATGGTGGTGGAGTCCTGGTTTTCCTGGCTCTGGGCTTTGCACAGGTCCAAGTGCGTGCGGAGGTCTCCCTGCTACCATGGAGGCTGTTGCTGAGGAAGGGCCACCAGCCACTACTGGTTTGACTGCATTGTTTTGTCCTGAGGCTTCCCCTCGCCAGCTTTTCCAAAGAGATGACAGCAGCCTTTAGATCAGATTGACGAGGAAAACTTGGGTGACACCTTTAGCCTTTGCCAAAAGACCACCCGGCCCATCCCCAGACCCGAGCACAGCCCTGAAGTTGGAGCTTGGGTTTGCACGAGGGCACGCTGGAGCAGAGGAGAAGCAGATGTGCGGCCGCTGCGCCGATGGAAATGTGTTTCTCGTTGGGCAGAACCAGGCGCTTGGGGCTGGGATCCCTTGGGACTCTTCCCGAGCTGCCTTCTCCACAGTGAGGAGCATCTGGGCCGTGGAGCGGTTCCCCTCGGGTTGACGTGCTGTCAGTGCATCAGCGTGTCGGGGGGCATTTGTCCTCGTAAAAGCTGGAGGGGGGAGCAGAGGGCTTGGCCGTGCAGAGGGCTGATGCAGCGGGATTTGGGGCTGCTTACGTTAGCAGAGCGGGCAGCTGCATCTGGGCAGGAGGAAAAAAAAAAAAAAAGGAGAAAATGAGGAGCAGATGGAAGAGCCGAACTGGGAGTAGGCTTTTTGCAGCTGACCTTTCGGTGCAGGCGGATCTTCCCGTTATGTAGCTGTTTAATGGAGTCCAATAACACATAGAGGGGAGAAGCAGTGGTTGACGATGCTTGCTTTTTTAGCAGCCTTGCCCTCATCGCTTCTCCTGCTCTACACGGAGATGGTTTTATACTTGCCTTCAAACTACTCTTTCTACATGATATTTCTCCTCTTTTCCAATGAGATGCTGCATTTGTGGTTCACCAGAACCCGTTCCATTCCCCCCTCCCATCTACCAGCGAGGCCTTTTGAAGCCAAAGTCTCCGTTTCTTGAGAGTTTCATCTGCCTCTGCTGCTCTTCCCTCCCGAAGAATCAGTCTCTTCTACGCCGCTACGTGACATCCCAAATGAAGGGTTGTCAATTCAAGTGGGAAGAAACCAAAAGAATGAAGTTGATTAATGAGGGGAATGTGCATGTCTTCATTAATAAAAAGCAGAGCAGGGAAGAGACTTTGCAGGAAAAAAGTATGATATGAAACAGAGTTGTCTCCTATTTTATGAATTTTCCTTGGTATATTAGCATCTATTTTTA